TCTCTAAATGTAGTTAATGTAAATTGTAATTGTCAGTGACAGTATTTTCTGTTCGTATTATTCAAACATTGATTTATTTGATGTTCATGTATTGAATTTTTTCTACAGATGTACCGCTTTTAACTTCTAATGTCACAAAGTCATATGAGCCCAAGTCCTTCTGTTGATTAGTAAAAAAGACCTGGTGTTTTTATTATACATGGTTCATGGTTGTCATTGGTTATTAATATTTTCATGTTTTGTAAGTATGGGAATGCTCAACCTACCAGCAATACATATCATGTTGTGTCCTCCCATTGTGTTCAGTGTTACCCCACAGTGTGCACAATTGATTGGTAAGAAGAAGTGAAACGTAATCATTTTTATTGGTATTGCTGGGTCGCAGACATTAATTTGAGGATCTCAAGTTCTTTACGTAGAATTCCTTTGTATCGTTATAATTTTTTATTTTGTGTGTCATAGGAAAAGGACAACCTGTCAGGCGTACATCAAATAAAGAACTGTTCCATGGTTACCAATTTGAAAACTTTGAATTTACGAGAAAAGTAACTGATTGGGTGTAAAAAGTTCTGCTCTATTGTATTAAAAAACAGAAATGAGAAGTCAGATGAAAATGAGTTTTAAAGCAAAATGTTTCGTGTCCATCACTTAAGCATCAAGGAATTTATAACAAACTTCTTTGTGTTCCTTGGCCATATGTTGACAAAATATATTAGATCTTCTACTTGCAAATGGCAAACAGTGTATACATGTTAATATCTCACTATTTGTCACAAAATGCCGTAGGGGTTTTAGATCCCAAGCCAATTAATTGCATATTGTGTAAATAAATCAGTATGTACATTTTTTTAATCTTGTTTAACTCTAGATGACTTTTAAAAATGTTACAGTCTACAGTAATTACTCATCTCATATACAATAACATTATTTGTTACTTTTCAATTACTATGCATGTTGAACAAAATTACTATTGAGTTTATATCAATAACTATGTAAATAAATATCATGGTCACATTTCTATTTCAAAAGTTACTTCAATGTTCAATTATTTGAGTTCCAAAGAAAACAAATTAGAATCATATTTTTTTTGGATTGAGAAAAAAGTATTATCAGAGTTTTAAGAAGAGTACAAAAACCTCCAGGGAATTGGCTGTACTTACAGTGTGCCACCAACTGTTTTCTTATAAAGAATTTTTCTTTTACGCTGCGAATGTATTTTTAATCATTGACTTACAGGTATTATTAATAATGTTAACTATGATGTATTGAATGCCTTCAACTAGTGTAGAATATTAGTAAAAGCTGTATTTTTGAATATGCGTTATTGGCTGGAGGAGTTAACCCTCTCTGGAAGCAGCACTGACTAAAATTAATACTTTTTTTTTTTAAAGTTAGCACCTTGTTCACTATGTAAAGAACAAGATTTCTCAACAGTTCACTTGTAATAACGTGACAGATGTGTAATGTTTAAACACTAATAAATTATATTTTTGACATGTAGCATGGTTGGAACCCTAAGTTCAAAAACAGTTCAGCATTTTCAGAGAATTGTAGTTATTCTAATCTTAGCCTCACAATATCATAT